GTTAGGGGTAGGAGATGTTAATTTCCCACGCATAAGATTACTATGTGGTGGATGTCCTCCCCTGGGGTGGGATGGGTGGGTTTACTGGGCCCGTGGTAATTGGCGCAAGCTGTCGTGGTGTCCCTGCCTGTCAGCAAAGTTAAATAAATTAAAATAAATTAACGCACCTGAAAAAAGCCGTCTCGCTCTAGTGCCCTCATGTTGTTTCAATTACAGAATTTTTATTGCATTCACATGGTTATGTGTACCTTTCTATCGTGTCCCATTGAGGTTAAAATTTTTAACACTAAGTGGTCATGTGATAAAATGCACATTGAATGAGTTTGGTCAGGTTGAACAGAGGCAGGGACCTCGCTATGCTCGGTCTGTATGTCGTGTAAAAGGTAAAGTCTGTGTACGAGCCTAGTGGCCCATCAGGCCGGTGCTTAACTCCGGTTTCTGTAGCATGAAGCGACTAGGAGTATTTCTGCTTCCCCCTGGATGGGATGTTAGTCCATCGCAGGGTTACCCCCAGCATTAAATTGCCGGTACCCATTTAAACACCTGGGCAAAGAGAGGCACTGTGAGAGTAAAGTGTCTTGCCTAAGAACACAACACAGTGTCTCCGACCGCGACTCGAACCGGGACCACTCGATCTGGAGTCGAGCGCACCAGCCATGAGGCCACCGCACCTCCACTCTGTACATCATGACCTCCAGCCAAATATTTTCCAATGCATTTCCATAGCTTATTAAGGATACTAGCTTGTCTTCTTTGCAAGTCATCAGTTTCCCGATGAACAGGAACAATGGTGTCTTCCAGTTTATGTATACGAACCTCAAACTTGGACAAGATATCAAGCTGTAAATACAACCAAGTAACATCATTATTAGTTTTTCTCCCTATGTCAAGAAAAAGACCACAACAAGGTCCCTGTACGTAAAATGTCCTTTGAGTATATACTGTTTTCTACTGCACGTCTTTGAATACTGTTGAGATTATTGGTTCATAGCAAAGAGGATCTCCCACCAGATACCAAAACAATAATTGTTTAAGAACATGGCATAAATGTTTTGTACCATCCTCCATGGGGTGAGTATGCATGAGTTACTGGGGGTACGCCCCAAACCATTGGCCAGAGTCTTGTATAAAACTAACAGTGTTGAGGTTCGAATTACTCAGTCAGCCTTTGTGGGGAACTCTTTCAAAGTCTAACTAGTTTCTTTTTTCCAATAAGCTGACTTGATATCACTGTCAGTGACGGGTTAAGGAAAGTTAACAACAAATAATCAATAGGGAAACTGTACTCACCATATTCCCCGTAATTTGATCAGTCTTTTCCAAACTGTCTTTAAGAAAAGCCAAGATGTTTTTCTCCTGAAATGAGGGAATAAATAGGTAAAAAAAAATAATTGATACCTTCTTTTCTTGTCACCATAACCAATATCTCATAGCTTTTGGCACTATTTTCTCTTAACATTTATGAGTTAAAATGGTATCAAAACGTCAGAGTAGTATGGGCTGATCAAAACATATAAATAGCTTACGATACTACAAACCCTGCATAAGGAAACTTGTAGAATAACTCGCGCTATGAAGAATTAGAGAGAGATTCTTGTTTATGAAAAAGCATTATTGAAACATTAAGTGTCATAAATGTTAGATGGTTCTCAGCACTCTTCAAAATACAAAAAAGGAAAAATCAAGATCATCATTATTCACCCAGCAAATCACTATGCGAATTATCGAAGAATTTTAATCAATAAGGTGGAGCTGGACTCACACAACACTGATAATGAAGAGAGCGAATTGTCTTTGGACTGTGCCTCGTTTAATTTTATTTTATGTTTACCCAATGCATAGGTCAGTGAATAAAAGTTTAAAAAAGTTGAGTTAGACGCCCGGAGAGACCTAGGATGGGTTTAATTTCCTACTAATCATGAATAACCTAAGGAAATACCTGAGCTAGTTTGTCGTCGAGCTGTCGCTTCCTGAGAGAAATGTCATCCATCGTTATTCACAGCAACTCGAACTACTATTCAACTCGTTTTCGATCAAGGCTCATTTTTTTTTCTGCTGTGCAAAATTCATGCTGCAAGCCAAACGGCAACGACACCTTCTGTCACGTAGTCATCTTAGACGCCATCTTAGATGTTTTAACTGCAGTCGAAAATTACCAGCGGCATGGCTATACTACTATACATAACTCTGTGTATTAGGCATAGATTCTCTCGAAGAAGTTCAAAATGGCATCCATGAAAACATCTCCAGGTCTGGTCAATTTCTTTATTTACAATTCCACTTTCGGACCTAAGGAAGGAATGGTAGGTATATTTTATATCGTTGTCCTCCATACTGATCTCTGCATCATGGTGTTGATCGTTCGTGGAAAGCAGAGTACTAGTTTTTGGATCAATCTAGCTAGAGTTCCATCCACATAATTTCGTGAGCAAATTATATCCAGGTTTAAGAAATTTTAAGCTCTTTTAGGATATGAATAGTTAACTGCCTCCCGGTTAGCTCAATAGACANTCGAACCACTGACCTCTGCGATACTAGTGCAGCGCTCTACCAATTGAGCTAACAAGCCAACTGGGAGCAGGCTGTTAAGTTGATTCGTAATAAACCCGTGAAAGTAATAAATGAGATGCAATGAATATATGAAGTTCATATATATTTTTTTTTTCTTGAACTGCGGTGTTAGATACGTATGATGTGCAATCCTCGCAGTAGATAGTGCTATTTATGCAATAGCAAAAATCAATTGGCTTGTTAGCCCAATTGGTAGAGTCCCGTGCAGGCCTGATTTTTTTCAGGTCTGATTTTCGCTATTGCATAAATAGCGCTATCTACTGCGAGGATCGCACATCATACGTAATACGTCTCTTTGTTGGGAGCTGGATTGAGGAAACTTGAGATTAGGGACCTAACACTATTTACAGGGAGGGGGGTGGTGGAAATGTGGGGGGGACCAAAAATTTGTATGCACATAAAAGGGGGGACCAAATAAAATTCTGCAATATCAATACCAGCAAAATTGACTTTTTATGTTTTAATTGGAGACTCTGATAAACAAAAGACTCAATCTCAATCTAAACAAACGTTTGACAAATTGAAAGTCCTTAAAGCATTTCATCCTCAGATTCACTGCTTTCCCCTCTGTCACTTTCATCTCCTTGTGCATCACTTTTAAAAAAGGTAGGATGGTATTCTTCACTTCTTCTGTAAGGATTTTCAGTATCATAGATCATTTTTTGAGTGCCAAAAAATTAATTTAAAGAATTATGGGGGTGGGGGACCAATAAAAAGTGTGTCCCCAATAAAGGGGGGACTTAAAGTTTTTGAGAAGTTTATTTCTCATTTCCACCAGCCCCCCCTTCCTGTAAATAATGTTAGGTCCCTTAGTTGATATTAATTTACAGTCGATAATACTGTACTCTGTTTGTGTATTTTTTTTGTCCCAAACAATAGGAAAAGGAGAAGATTATTCTCTACATCCCAACTGGCGAAGACCTCGACAGGAAAATAAAAAACATTGGCCTTTGTGAAGCATTGGTTAAGTTCACCCAGTAAGATGAAATCTCCTTGATGCTGTTTTGTAGTTGTTTGAGAGGTTTTTTGCAGTTTAAGAGAAATGATATTGTTTCTATTTGCATGGGAGCTCATCAGAAATCCATGGATAGAAAACATTAGACAGTTACAGTGCTATTAGAGTTACAGTGCTATTAGAGTAACAATAGTTTCCAATTGGCATTCCCTTATATATATCATTCTGTAATAAAAAACAATAACAAAAGTCAAATGAAATATATTATTATGGTTAAAATCTATAACAAGTGGAAGGTGAAAAAGTTTGCCATTCACCAGAGAATTTCATTTTTGATTTGATTTGCATTTCCAATTTGCACACTTCAGGACATTCTCACCAGAAAAACCCTGCAACTCTTTGCACACACAGAAAACAAGACAGGTCTTCTTCGAAGCAGAACCAGAATTCTGGATGATCATGGTGAGTGTTTCTTGGTTTGTGAGATATGTGACAGTCTGATAAATCAGCATTTTAAAAAAGGCAGCATTCAATTGTTACAAATTTGCAATCGCAGATATCTTGCCTTAAGCTGACCGACTGATACATGGTGCTGTTCATCCCAAGATCTAATATTTAATTCTCCCCTCTAGCTGCTACACATTTCCTTGTAAATTAGTCATAAGAATGTGGTACTAGATCAAGAGAATGACTTCTACCTGATAGACTCCAGTGTTCTCATTACCTGTTTGCTTATAATGTATGGGTGTTATAGGGAGAAGTTACATGCCCATCATTTCTGGGAGTTAAGAGCTAACAAGCTAACAAAGGTAACCTAAAATTTATTTTGCAGACAGTAAGCATTCCCTTTAGTGAGAAGATGGCAAAGGATGGCAAGATGTTTGTTGAATATCATGATGAAGATGTTTTGGTGATTACCATCACTTATTTCCTTTGTGAATAATGGCTTAAACATAATTATTTTCTCAGTGATTGTTCTTGACATGTTTCTCCATCTGTATCTTCTCCACTCAGGATTCTGTACTAGATGGCGTATTAAAACAGGCATACAAAATGTTTAAGGTAAGAGAAAAGTGTGTGCATCGGGAGAGGGTGGGGGGAGGAATTTGTTTGTGGTAAGGGTGGAGAGGGAGGGGGAAGGCAGATTGATAGTCTTACTGGTAACTCTCTCCAAGAGCTTGTTGGGTTAGATGGCTGGGTAAGTCAGTTTTTTTGGCATTTAAAGATTGAAGTGACATGAATCTGTTAATTGGTTGTTTTCTCCGATTCATGGAATGTAACCACTGTCAGTTAATTATTATCGATAATTTCTAAGTTAATGATTAACTGAAATGTTTCTTAGCTTTTCAATGGAACATTCTCCTACCTTTTGAAGACCTACAACATTGAAGCTCTACGCAAGAGAGTTGAACATTTCTATACCTCTGTAAGTAAACACATTCCTGTTTTCTAGTAGACATTTCTCCTTAACCATGGCATTTGTTTTAATATTTAAATTATTTTCTATTATTGAAATAGACACTGCTGAATAAATATTAATAATTTTTACTGTTAACTATTAATAATTTCTACTGTTAACCATTATACTCCTCTGAATGACCAAGACAGAATTTCTCCTTATCATATCAATACAATATCAAGCAGACAAGTACTGAGAATAAAGAAAAATATCAATTAGGGAATTATTAGTTGATCTAATAAAAAATTTGCATGAGAGAAGGGATTAACAGCTGATTTAAGTATAGCTCATAACTATTATAATTAATAAATTATACTTTAATCCTTGTCATGTCATCTTAAAACCTTTTTGCACACATGAATAAAGGCTGATAGTTTCGAAAGAAACTGTTTGGGGCTGCGTCGGTGGGAGTAACGAAATAATTTGGATATATCAACAAAGTTGAAATGGTAAATTGGCCACCGTAATGATTACAAAAGCTGACGTTTCGAGCGTTAGCCCTTCGTCGGAGCTCCGACGAAGGGCTAACACTCGAAACGTCAGCTTTTGTAATCATTACGGTGGCCAATTTACCATTTCAACTTTGTTGATATATCCAAATTATTTCTTTTTGCACACAGTTTCAGTCGCATTTGGTATTGCTGATTTTTTTTAAAGTTGAAAGTTGCAGCTGAAATAATTTTTGCAATCTATTTTAAGTATTTACAGACCCTTAACTTCTCTCAGTTTGATCTTCTGGATGTATTTTCCGGTGAGTTAGTGCAGACAAATCATGATAAATTAATTCTTTCATATTTATAAAGGGAAAACATCAAAAATGTTGTTTTCTTGAGAAGATTTTGAAGATGCTGTATCTGATCATATTTTAACTAAGCCCTAAAATATTAATAGCTATTATATTGAAAGAAGTGTCTTCTTTCTCTTCTTTGACAATACTCACTTTACATTTTGAAAATAAATGTTGAACAATGGTTAAAGGGATTTGTTCACTTTTTTATCTTTCAGGGATCAGTTTTCTACCATTAGACAAAAACACCTTTTTAAGGATACAATCTTTTATTAATGTGATTGAACATACATTCAGGTGATTTTAACTGTAATATCTAGTATAGAGGAGTAACTTTGAATTTGTTTCTTTGGGTAAACATGATTCTCAGTGGTAAGAAAAATTGAAATTTTTTTTTTTACTGTTTTAGAGTGATATGTTTGACAATTCTTCCTGAATAGTTTTAATTATCTGGTATTCCTTTTCCTGACCATTCATACTTCAAACCAAGTTAATTTTTCAGAGCAGCACTATATTATTATACTGATTACTACAGATCAGTTGAATATCTGCTTACAGGTCTATGTCATGTGATCCACTGTATTTTGTGATAAAGTGAAAACCACTGTCTCTGTGACTTACCTTTTACCTATATTGGTATATGCATTTACTTAATTGTTAGCTCACCATGGCAAATGTGAAAACAAATAAACTTATCTCTCTTTTAGCCAAGTAAGGTATACATCCTTCCTTTATTCGGAAAAACTTGTCTGGTGAGTGATGAGTGATCTACAAGAATGATATTTTTATTTTTATCATAATTGTTATGATTTTTTATAATATTTATTATAAGCAATTTTGTCACTGTTAATTATAAAAATTTATTCTAACTTCTAGTTTTCCAGGTGGGGCAGTAGAAACCTGCTGATCCAAAATATTGTCTCAATTTTGACTGATAGGTCTACACTTAGTAGTGACTAAACTTGACTGGCTAGGAATACTTTCCAACTCAATACTCATTCAATTTGGCTGTTAAACTACAGGTCTAATCTACTGGTAACCTGTCAGATTATAAGCAGCTCATGCTAGAATAGTATAAACTGAGAGCTTATTCCTATGATAGCCAATGAAGCCATATATAAGGGCTTTCATGAACCAAAGGAATGAGATTAATAGCATTTCTCATGTTATTGTCAAAGTTAATGCTTCTTATTTCATATGTAGGAGTGGTCTTGAACAAGAAGACATGCGTACCCTTTACAAATACTTGGTAACAAGCTTATTTCCATCCACGGTAGACTTAGAGGTACATGTGTGCTCTTTATAGTTTTAACTTTTGTTACTTTGTGACACTTGCTTTTTTTGCTATGCAGAAGATTCTTAATTGACTAAACACTCCAAAATGAAACTTTTGTGAGTTTGAAACTGTTTTACTGAGAGGTCCCAAGAAATTATCATGTAAAAGCATATATATTTTATTAATATTATGTTGATTTAGAAAAATACAGCAACTACACTTTCATCCCTGTAAGCCTGTTTCGTGATTGCTCACTCATCAGGGGATTTTTTAAATAGACAAGTAAAAATCCCCTGATGAGTGAACAATCATGAAACAGGCTTGTAGGGATGAAAGCATAGTCACTGTATTTTTCTAAGTTTAACTCAACATTTATTGCACTCTAATTTATGAATCGAGAACTGTAATGCGAAAACATCAAAATGCAGACTTCCTATATTATATATTATATATGGTATATACGTGTTTATTAAATACTGGATCATTGGATAATGCAATTCAAGACTTTTTATTGGCTTATGCCATATGATATATGAGCCAATATACCATAATCTAACATCTGTACATAATTTGTAACATCCGGTTTCTTTTCGCAAAATAAAGTCAAGAAGATTTGTCTAATATCTTGGGGGCGTTTTTTTTAATAAAACAATTATTCCACTCGCGTTTGTTGGATATGAGATGATTGCAGCCAACGAGGCACATAGTGCCTCATTGGCTATCTATCATCTCATATCCAATGAGCGCTTGTGGAATAATTGTTAAGTGTACACATATACATATACCTACATGCACTCTACTTTTATGCGTTGAGCACTAACATAGAAAATCAAAATGCAGACTTACATATACATATATATATATATA